GGGTCAGCAAATACCCCAAAACCACCTCAAAACCCAAAAACGAACCCAAAAACGCTCCACGATCATCAAAACACCCAAAAATCCCAAAACCAACCCTGTGGTCAGTGGGTGTGGTCAGTGGAGTGGGTGTGGCCATTTTGATGGGTGTGGTCAATCGGGGTGTGGTCATTTGAGGGGGTGTGGCCATTTTATGGGCGTGGTCAATTTTGGTGTGGCCAGTGGGTGGGTGTGCCCATTTGGGGGCGTGGTCAATTTGAAGGGTGTGGCCATTTTGATGTGTGCAGCCAATGGGTGGGTGTGGTCAATGGGTGGGTGTGGTCCATGGGTGAGTGGCCAATCAGAGGTATGTGGTCCCTTAGGTGGGTGTGGCTAATGGGCTGGGTGTGGTCACTGTAGTGGGCGTGGTCAGTCAGGTGGGAGTGGCCACTGTGTGGACATGGACACACCCAATGAATCCCAAAATGGTGCCTGCCCTTCCCCCCCCACCATTTCCCCAAATCCGCCACTTTTCACCCCAAAATCCCCCACTTACCACTGACCACAACGGCCACGCCCTGACTGGGCGGAGCCTCCAGCCAGGCCCCGCCCACCTCCTCCTCCAGCAGGCAGCTGAAATTCCCGGCCAATTCCGGGGAAATCCGCGGGAAGAGCAGCTCGGACCCATCCCCGGCGACATCACCGATGACGTCATCGGCGTCGCCGACGTCACCCGGCGTCACCTCGGCGCCATCGCGGAAGAAGCGGAAGCGGCGCCGGAAGTCGCGGCGGGGGGCGGCGCAGGTCAGGCGCAGCCGGTGGCCGGCGGCCACCACGCCCGAGGGCGGCTCCACGGACAGGAGAGGGGCTGGGCACGGGTCTGGGGTGCGGGGGGAAAAAATCGGGGGGAAATCAGTGGAATTGGTGATTTTACAATTTGGGTGGGAAAAGGATGAAAAAATGGCCTCAAATTTTGGTGTTTTGGAGGTGAGAATGGAGAAGATGAAGAAGAATCATCTGGTTTCACCCAAAATCCAGATTTTTGTTGGTCGTAGGAGGTGCCACCATGACCCTGCTTGGGTCGGGCTTGGATTGGGTCAAAAAAGCCTAAAAATGGCCACAAAATTCAGTGTTTTGGATGGATGGATGAGGTGGAAATGGAGAAGATGGAAAACAGCCACCTGATTTTTCCCAAAATCCCAAATTTTTGTTGGCCAGAGGAGGTGCCACCAAGACCCTGCTTGGGTTGGGCTCAGATTGTATCAAAAATCCTAAAAATGACCCCAAAATTCAATGTTTTGTGTGGCTGGAGGAGGTGGAAATGGAGAAGATGGAGAAGATGGAGAAGAACCATCTCTTTTCCCAAAATCTGGATTTTTGTTGGTCGTTGGTCACCATGATCCTGATTGGGCTTGGATTGGGTGGAAAAAGAACTAAAAATGGCCCCAAAATTCAGGGTTTTGGAGGTGAGAATGGGGAAGATGGAGAAGATGGAGAACAATCATCTGTTTTTTCCCAAAATCCTGATTTAACCTGGTTTTTCCCAAAAACAACGTTTTTGTTGGCTGTTAGTCACCAAGATCCTGATTGGGTTGGGCTTGGATTGGGTGGAAAAAGGACTAAAAACGGCCACAAAATTCAGGGTTTTGGAGGTGAGAATGGGGAAGATGGAGAAGATGGAGAAAATGGAGAAGAACAACCTGTTTTTTCCCAAAATCCAGGTTTTTGTTGGCCAGGGAAGGTGCCACCATGACCCTGCCTGGTTTGGACTTGGATTGGGTCAAAAAAGCCTAAAAATCATCCCAAAAATCGATATTTTTGAGACTGGACAAGGTGGAGATGGAGAAGATGGAGAAGAACCACCTGGTTTTTCCCAAAATTCTGATTTTTGTTGGTCATGGGAGGTGTCACCATGACCCTGCTTGCGATGGGCTCAGATTGGATTAAAAAAGCCTAAAAATGGCCCCAAAATTCAATGTTTTGGAGGTGGGAATGGAGAAGATGGAGAAGAATCATCTGGTTTTTCCCAAAATCCTGATTTTTTTTGGTCATTGGACACCACGATCGTGATTGGGTTGGGCTTGGATTGAGTCAAAAAAGCCTAAAAATGTCCCCAAAATTCAACGTTTTGGAGGTGGGAATGGAGAAGATAGAGAAGAGCCACCCAGTTTTTCCCAAAATCCTGGTTTTTCTTGGTCATCGGAGGGGTCACCATGACCTTGCTTAGGTAGGGCTCAGATTGGATCAAAAATCCTAAAAATTCAGAGTTTTGGAGGTGAGAACAGAGAAGATGGAGAAGAACGACCTAGTTTTCCCCAAAATCATGATTTTTGTTGGTCATAGGATGTGCCACCATGACCCTGCTTGGGTCGGGCTTGGATTGGGTCAAAAAGGACGAAAATTGTCCCAGAAATTCAATGTTTTAGAAGTGGAAATGGAGAAGATGGAGAAGAACCATCTGTTTTTTCCCAAAATCCTGATTTTTGTTGGTCGTTGGTCACCAGGATCCTGATTGGGTTGGGCTTGGATTGGGTCAAAAAGGACGAAAATTGTCCCAGAAATTCAATGTTTTAGAAGTGGAAATGGAGAAGATGGAGAAGAACGACCTAGTTTTCCCCAAAATCATGATTTTTGTTGGTCATAGGAAGTGCCACCATGACCCTGCTTGGGGTGGGCTTGGATTGGGTCAAAAAGGACGAAAATTGTCCCAGAAATTCAATGTTTTAGAAGTGGAAATGGAGAAGATGGAGAAGAACCACCCAGTTTTTGCCCAAATCCAGGTTTTTCTTGGTCATAGTAGGTGTCATCATGACCCTGCTTGGGTTGGGCTTGGATTGGGAGTGAAAAGGACTAAAAATGGCCCCAAAATTCAGAGTTTTGGAGGTGAGAATGGAGAAGATGGAGTAGATGGAGAAGAACCGCCCAGTTTTTCCCAAAATCCTGATTTTTCTTGGTCATCGGAGGGGTTACCATGACCCTGCATTGGTTGGGCTTGAATTGGACCAAAAAGGCCTAAAAATGGCCCAAAAGTTCAATGTTTTGGGTGGTTGGAGGAGGTGGAAATAGAGAAGATGGAGAAGAACCACCCAGTTTTTGCCCAAATCCAGGTTTTTCTTGGTCATAGTAGGTGTCATCATGACCCTGCTTGGGTTGGGCTTGGATTGGGTCAAAAAAGCCTAAAAATGGCCCCAAAAATTCAAAGTATTGGAGGTGTGAATGGAGAAGATGGAGAAGAACCTGCCAAAATTTCTTTAAAACCCAAATTTTTGTCGTCTGGATAACGTTGGGGACCACCCAGAGATTCCTGGGGGTTCTACCATGAGTTTGGTTAGGTTTGGCTTGGATTGGGTCAAAAAAGTCTAAAAGTCACCCAAAATTCAATATTCTGGAAGTGGGAATGGAGTTGATGGAGAAGAACCTCCCAAATTTTACCAGAATTCTGATTTTCCATGACATTAGGAAGTTGGGGACCACCTGGATGGTTCTGGAGCTGCCACCAAGCCAGGGGAGATTCTGGGGTTGGGATTAGGTCAAAAAGGCCTAAAAGTGGCTCCTGGAAATCTCAATATTTTGGAAATAAATGGGAAAAACCCTTGAAATCCTCAATTTTGGACACTCAGGAGGAGATTTGGGGTCATGGCCCAACCAAACCCAACCATGGCCCAACCAAACCCAACCACATCCAACCATGACCCAACCAGACCGAACCCAACTAAACTCAACCACATCCAACCAAACCCAACCATGGTCCAACCAAACCCAATCCAACCATGACCCAACCATGGCCCAACTAAACTCAACCACATCCAACCATGGCCCAACCAAACTCAACCCAACCCAAACATGGCCCAACCATACCCAACCAAACCCAACCACATCCAACCAAACGACCAAAACCCAACATTAAACCCAACCATAACCAAACCACACCCAACCAAACCCAAACTCAACCACATCCAACCAAACCCAATCAAACCCAACCATGACTCAACCAAAGCCCAACCAAACCCAGCCATGGCCCAAACACATCCAGTCAAGGCTCAATGAAACCCAACCATGACCAAACCAAACCCAACCCAATCATGACCCAACCAAGGCCCAACCAAACCCAACCATGATCCAACCAAACCCAACTACACCCAACCAAAACCAACCACATCCAACTACATTGAACCAAACCAAATCAAACCCAGCCACGTCCTAACCAGACCAAACCCAACCCAACTAAACTCAACCACATCCAATCACAGCCCAACCAAACCAAAGCTCAGTCAAACCCAGCCATGAACAAACCCAACCCAACCACACCCAACCAAACTCAGCCACATCCAACCATGGCCCAACCAAACTCAATAAAACCCAGCCTTGACCCAACCAAACTCAATAAAACCCAACCTTGACCCAACCATATCCAACTAAACCCAACCAAACCCAAACATGTCCAAACCAAACTCAGCCATGACCCAACTAAACCCAACCATGGCCCAACCAAATCCAACCATGGCCCAACCAAACCCAACCATGACCCAACCAAACCCAGCCATGACTAAACCACATCCAACCGAACTCAACCTTGACCCAACCAAACCAAATCAAACTCAACCTTGGCCCAACCCAACCATGGCCCAACTACATCCAACCAAACTCAGTCAAACCCAACCATGATCCAACCAGACCCAGCCCAATTCAACTAAACTCAACCACATCCAACCACAGCCCAACCTAACCCAACCATGGCCTAACCAAAGCCAATCAAGGCTCAACCAAACTCAGCCATGACCAAACCAAACCACGTCCAACCAAACTCAACCACATCCAACCATGACCCAAGCAAAGTCAACAAAACACAACCTTGACCCAACCACATCCAACCAAACCAAACCCAACCAAGGCTCAACCAAACCCAACCATGACTCAACAAAACTCAACCACATCCAACCATGGCTGAACCAAACTCAAGCAAACCCAACCGAATTCAACCATGGGCCAACCACATCCAACCATGGCCCAACCACATCCAACTAAACCAAATCAAACCCAACCATGACTCAACCAAACTCAACCACATCCAACCAGGGCTGAACCAAACTCAAGCAAACCCAACCGAATTCAACCATGGGCCAACCAAACCCAACCAGACCCAACTAAATTCAACCACGTCCAACTGTGGCTCAACTAAACTCAACCAAACCAAACCAAACCCAACCAACTTTGGCACTCCCACTTTGCCGTCTCCTCAACCTTCCCCAAACCCAGCCCTGAGGTGCCTCCACGCCCATCCCCTTGCCCGGAAATCGTGGATTTATCTCCAAAATCACCTTTGACAACAACCTGGATGGCGTCGCTGGGGTAGGAGGCGATCCAACGCCCCTCGGTCATCTCCTCATAGCGGCAGCTGAAGTTCCCGGTCTGGTTCTGGTCACTCCTCTCCACCCGCAGCCGGACGCCACCGGCTCTGGAATCTTCCTGGATCCAGTCCGTGACCTCGAGCTCCTCCTGGAAGAACCGAAATCGCCGCTCGGCGGGGCCGGGCGGGGCCGTGCAGAAGAAGACAAGGGGCTGCCCTTCCACGGTGATGCTGGAGGGCATCACTGTCAGGTTGGGCTGGGTTGGACGGTCTGGTGGGAGGAGAAGACCCAAAGTCAACGTTGGACCTCAAGAGGGACAAATTTTGGGATAAAAATGCCCCTGTTGGACCAAAACCCAACATTTTTGGTAATGGAGGTGAATTTTGGGGTAAAAATGCCCAATTGGACACAAAAGTCAATGTTGGACCTCAACAGGGAAAGATTTTGTGATAAAAATGCCCCTGTTGGACCAAAACCCAACATTTTTGTCAACAGAGACAAATTTTGGAGTAAAAACACCCAGCTGGGTGGAAAAGTCAAGGTTGGACCTCAGTGGGGACTAATTTTGGTATAAAAATGATAAGTTGGGAGGAAAAATCTATGTTGGACCTCAACAGGATCAAATTTTGGGATAAAAACGCCCCCATCAGACCAAAACCCAACATTTTAGTCAACAGGGATGAATTTAGGGGTAAAAGTCCCCAATTGAGTGGAAACGTCAAGGTTGGATCTCAGCGGGGATGAATTTTGGGATAAAAATGCCCCTGTTGGACCAAAACTCAACATTTTGTTAATGGGGATGAATTTTGGGGTAAAAACACTCAATTGAGCACAAAAGTAAACATTGGGGCCTCAACATGGATGGATTTTGGGATAAAAACATCGTCTTTGGTGGAAAAGTGAATGTTGGGTGGAAAAGTCAACATTGGACCTCAGAGGGGACAAATTTTAGGATTAAAAAGCCCCCATTGGACCAAAACCCAACATTTTTGTTAATAGGGGTGAATTTTGAGTGAAAAAAGTCAACGTTGGACCTCAATGAGATAAATTTGGGATTAACTCACCAAATTGGGTTGAACACCCAACATTAGGTGGAAAAGTTAATGTTGGCCTCAATGGGGATTAATTTTGGAACAAAAACGCTCAATTGGGTGGAAAAGTCAATTTTGGACCTCAAGAGGAGCAGATTTTGGGATAAAAACGTCCCCATTGAACCAAACCCCAACATTTTTGTCAATGGGGATGAATTTTGGGGTTAAAATGCCTCATGGGATGCAAAAGTCAATGTTGGGACCTCAACCAGAACAAATTTTGGGATAAAAATTCCAAATTGGGTGGAAAAGTCAAGGTTGAGGCTCATTGGGGATGAATTTTGGATAAAAATGCCCTGTTGGGTGGAAAAGTCAATGTTGGGTGGAAAAATCAATGTTGGGGCTCAATGGGGAAGAAATTTGGGATAAAAACGTCCCTGTTGGACCAAAACTGAACTTTTTTTTTTTTTTTTTGTCAACAGGGATAAATTTTGGGTTAAAAATATCCACTTGGGTGGAAAAGTCAAGGTTGAAACTCAGAGGGGACAAATTTTGGGGTAAAAACTCCCCCGTTGGACCAAACCCCAACATTTTGGTCAATGGGGATGAATTTTGGGGTAAAAATGTCCAATTAAGTGGAAAAGTAAAGGTTGGACCTCATTTGAGATGGATTTTGGGATAAAAATGCCCCTGTTGGACGAAACCCCAACATTTTGGTCAGTGGGGACAAATTTTGGGGTAAAAACACCCGGTTGTGTGTAAAAGTCAAGGTTGGACCTCAACAGGGATGAATTTTGGGATAAAAACACCCAATTGATTAGAAAAGTCAACACTGTGTGGAAAAGTCAATGTTGGGCCTCAATGGGGATGGATTTTAGGATAAAAAAGCTCCCCTTGGACCAAAACCCAACATTTTGGCCAATGGGGATGAATTTTGGCACAAAAATTCCCCTGTTGGGCCAAACCCCAACATTTTGATCAACTGGGACAAATTTTGGGATAAAAATGCCCAGTTGGAAACAAAAGTCAACATTGGGACCTCAACGGGGACGAATTTTGGGATAAAAACCCCCAGTTGAGTAGAAAACACAACATTTGGTGGAAAAGTCAACTTTGGGCCTCAATGGGGATGAATTTAGGCACAAAAATGCCCCTGTTGGACCAAACACCCAACATTTTGGTCAATGGGGATAAATTTTGGGGTAGAAACACCCATTTGGGTGGAAAAGTCAATGTTGGACTTCAACAGGGACAGATTTTGGGACAAAAATGCCCAGTTGGGTGGAAAAGTCAAGGCTGGACCTCAAGGGGGATGGAATTTGGGATAAAAACACCCAATTGATTAGAAAAGTCAACACTGGGTGGAAAAGTCAGTGTTGGGCCTCAGTGGGGATAAATTTTGGGATAAAAATGCCGCCATTGGACCAAAACCCAACATTTTTGTCAACAGGGATGAATTTTGCGATAAAAACACGCAATTGGGTACAAAAGTCAACACTGAGCCTCCATGGGGGTCGAATTTTGGGCTAAAACCCTGCAATTGAGTAGAAAACTCAACATGGGGTGGAAAAGCCAACACTGGAGCTCTACAAGAACAAATTTTGGGATAAAACCCCCAAAACCCCCAACTCCAGGAGGTGCCACCCCAAACCTTGGACGTTGATGAGCACGGCCTGGCTGGCCAGGGAGTAGAGTTTGTCGCGGCCGCGCCGGAGGACGCTGTAGGAGCAGGAGTGGAAGCCGCCGTCGCGTGGGCCGTCGATGATGATGGTGTGGACGAAGGTCCTCTTGGACGTCCGGACGTCGGTGGCCCAACCGGAGGTGCTGGTGAAGCGGAACCCTTGGATCCGGTCGCTGCTCGCCGGCGCGGCGCAGGCGATGGACACGGAGTCGCCGATGAGGAACCGCGGCTTGGGCGGCTTCACCGAGATGTTGGGGGCGGGGAGAGTGAGGTCTGGGGAGGAAAATGGCGGGGAAAAAGGCGAAAAATGGCCCCAAAAATTCCCTATTTTGGAGGTGGGGAATGGAGGAGATGGAGTTGGAGAAGAAGATGGAGAAGAACCTTACAAATTTTCCCAAAATCCTGATTTTTGTTGGCCAGAGGAGGTGTCACCATGACCCTGCTTGGTTTGGGCTCGTATTGGGTCAAAAAGACCCAAAAATGACCCAAAAATTCAATGTTTTGGAGATGGGAATGCAGAAGATGGAGAAGATGGAGAAGAACCACTAATTTTTTCCCAAAATTATGGTGTTTTTGGTTGGAAGAGGTCCCACCATGACCCTGCTTGGGTTGGGCTCAGATTGGGTCAAAAAAAGCCCCAAAATGGCCCAAAAATCGTTATTTTTGTGCCTGGAAGAGGTGGAGATGGAGAAGATGGAGAAGAACCACCCAGTTTTTCCCAAAATCCTGGGTTTTTTTGTTTGTTTTTTTTTTTTTGTTTTTTTGTTTTTTTTGTTTAGAAGAGGATTCTCAGTGATCCTGCTTGGGTTTGGCTTGGATTGAGTCAAAAAGGCCTAAAAATAACCCAAAAATTCAGAGTTTTGGTGATGGGAATGGAGAAGATGGAGAAGATGCAGAAGAACCACCCAGTTTTTCCCAAAATCCTGATTTTTATTGTTTGGAAGAAGTTCCACCATGACCCTGCTTGGACTGGATCAAAAATTCCTAAAAATGGTTGCAAAAATTGATGTTTTTGAGATTGAATGAGGTGGAGATGGAGAAGATGGAGAAGAACCTCAGAGTTTTTACCAAAATCCCAATTTTTTTCCCAAAATCCTGGGGGTTTTTTTGGATGGAGGAGGTTCCACCATGACCCTGATTGGGGCTTGGATTTCTCCAAAAAAGTCCAAAAATGGCCCAAAAATTCAGAGTTTTGGAGGTGGGGATGGAGAAGATGGAGAAGATGGAGAAGAACCACCCAGTTTTTCCCAAAATCCTGGTTTTTGGCACCCTGACAATGATCTTCAGGTGCCACCAAGACAGACCTAAAAATGGCCCTAAAAACGTCAAAAATGACCCAAAATTCAATTTTGGTGAGGTTGGCCAAGGTGGAGATGGAGAAGATGAGGAAGAACCCCTCAATTTTTCTCAAAATCCCGATTTTTTCCCCCAAAATTCTGATTTTTTTTTTTTTCTTGGATGGAGGAGGTTCCACCATGACCCTGGTTGGTTTGGGCTCAGATTGGGTCAAAAAAAGGCCAAAAATGGCCAAAAAAAAAATTTTTTTTTTTGAGGTGAAAATGGAGAAGAACCACCCAGTTTTGCCCAAAATTCGGATTTTTCTTGGGAATTTTTTGTTACCTGATGGCGTCGCCAGCGGGAAAAGGATTGGGAGAGAGGCTGGAAAAAAGGGAAAAATGGGAAAATTAAAGGAAATCATGGGGAAAATGGGAAAATGGAAAGAAAAGGGAAAAATGGGAAAAAATGGAGAAGGAAAAATTGGGAAAAGAAAGGAAATTAAAAATTATTTGTTAATTAATAATTAGGGGAAATGAAAAGGAATTTAAAATAAAAATAATTTTCAAATAAAAAGGAAATTAAAATAGTATTTTTAAAAGGCGTTTTAAAAATATAAATAAAAGGAAAAATTTGAAATATAAAAATATTTTAAATATTTATTAATTAATAATTAGGGGAAAATGGAATTAAAGAAAATTGAAAAGAAATTTAAAATAAAAATGATTTTCAAATAAAAAGGGAATAAAAAGAGATTTTTTTAAAAGACAATAAAAAATAAAATGGAAAAACTAAAAATAAAAGGAATTTTAAATTATTTTTTAATTAATAATTAGAGAGAAATGAAAGGAAAAAAGGAAAATTGGAAGGAAATTAAAAATTAAAATAATTTTGAAATAAAAGGAAATAAAAAGAGTTGGGATAATGGCGATGGAAATGGGGCGGAAATGGAAAAAAATGAGAAAAATGGGAGAGAGGAGGAAGGGGAGGAAGAGGAGCCCAGAAATGGGGGGAAAAGGGGAAATCTGGGGAAAATGGGATGGGGAGGAAGAGGAGGAGGAGCTGGGATGAAGGGCACGGAAATAGGAGAAAAAATGAGAAAATTGGGAAAAAAGGAGATGGAGGAGGAGGAAGATGAGCCCAGGAATGGGGGAAAAAAAGGAAATTTTGGGAAAATGGGCTGGGGAGGAAGAGGAAGAGGAAGAGGAGGAGGAGCTGGGATGAAGGGCACGAAAATTGGGGAGGGGGGGGATGAGGAAATTGGGAAAATGGGGTGGAGGAAGAGGAGGAAGAGTTGGGATAATGCAGATGGAAACTGGGGGGAAAAAGGGAAAAGCTGGGGGAAATGAGAGAGGAGGAAGAGGAGTTGGGATGAAGGGCAGGAAATGGGGAAAAGGGGAAAATTGGGAAAATATGGGGATGGAGGAAGAGGAGGAAGAGGAGGAGTTGAGAAAATGGCCATGAAAATGAGAGGGAAATGGGAAAATTGGGGAAAATGGGAATGAGGAGGAAGAGGAGGAGGAAGAGTTGGGATAATGCAGATGGAAACTGGGGGGAAAAGGGAAAAGTTGACGGAAATGAGAGAGGAGGAAGAGGAGTTGGGATGAAGGGCAGGAAATGGGGAAAAGGGAAAAATTGGGAAAATATAGGGATGGAGGAAGAGGAGGAAGAGGAGCACATGGAGGAGTTGGGAAAACAAACCCAGAAATTGGGGGGGGAAAGGAAATTTGGGGAAAATGGTCTGGGGAGGAAGAGGAGGAGCTGGGATGAAGGGCAGGAAATGGGAAAAAAATGGAAAATTGGGAAAATGGGGTGGAGGAAGAGGAAGAGAAAGGGTTGGGATAATGGAAATAGAAATCAGGGGAAATGGGAAAAATTGGGCAAAATGTGATGGAGGTGGAAGAGGAGGAAGAGGAGGAAGAGGAGGAGTTGAGAAAATGGCCATGAAAATGAGGGGGAAATGGGAAAATTGCGGAAAATGGGAATGAGGAGGAAGAGGAGGAGGAGGAATTGGGAGGAAGGGCGGGGAAATGAGGGGATAATGGGGAAAACTGGGAAAAAATGGGTTGGAGGAGGGAGGAGGAAGAAGAGGAGGAGTTGGGATGAAGGGCACAGAAATGAGGGAAAAAAGTGGAAAATTATGAAAAAAGGGAGAGAAGAGAAAGGAGGAAGAGGAGGAAGAGCAGGTGGGAAAATGGGCACAAAAATGAGGGGGGAAAGGGAAAATTGAGGGGAAAAAGGGACAGAAGAGGAAGAGGAAGAGGAGGAAGAGTTGAGATAATGGGGATGGAAATTGGGGGAAAACGGGGAAAATTGGGAAAAATTGGGAAAAATGGGAAAGAGGAGGAAGAGGAGTTGGGATGAAGGGCAGGAAATGGGAGGAAAAGGGGAAAATTGGGAAAAAGGGAGAGAGGAGGAAGAGAAGAGGAAGAGGAGGAGGAGGAAGGGTTGGGATGAAAGGCAGGAAAATGGAGGGGAAAAGGAAAAATCGGGGGAAAAGGGATGAAGGAGGAAGAGGAGTTGGGAAAAGGAGCCCAGAAATGTGGAAAAAAGGAAATTTGGGGAAAATGGTCTGGGGAGGAAGAGGAGGAGCTGGGATGAAGGGCAGGAAATGGGGAAAAAAAATGGAAAATTGGGAAAATGAAGTGGAGGAAGAGGAGGAGGAAGGGTTGGGATAATGGAAATAGAAATCAGGGGAAATGGGAAAAATTGGGCAAAATGTGATGGAGGTGGAAGAGGAGGAAGAGGAGGAAGAGGAGGAGTTGAGAAAATGGCCATGAAAATGAGGGGGAAATGGGAAAATTGCGGAAAATGGGAAGGAGGAGGAAGAGGAGGAGGAGGAATTGGGAGGAAGGGCGGGGAAATGAGGGGATAATGGGGAAAACTGGGAAAAAATGGGTTGGAGGAGGGAGGAGGAAGAAGAGGAGGAGTTGGGATGAAGGGCACAGAAATGAGGGCAAAAAGTGGAAAATTATGAAAAAAGGGAGAGAAGAGAAAGGAGGAAGAGGAGGAAGAGCAGGTGGGAAAATGGGCACAAAAATGAGGGGGAAAAGGGAAAATTGAGGGGAAAAAGGGACAGAAGAGGAAGAGGAAGAGGAGGAAGAGTTGAGATAATGGGGATGGAAATTGGGGGAAAACGGGGAAAATTGGGAAAAATTGGGAAAAATGGGAGAGAGGAGGAAGCCAAGGAGGAGGAAGAGGAGGAGGAGTAGGGATGAAGGGCAGGCAATGGGGAAAAAGGAAAATTGAAGGGAAATGGGGAAGAGGAAGAAGAGGAAGAAGAGTTGGGATAATGGGGGTGGAAACTGGAGGAAAATGGGAAAAATTGGGAAAAAATGAAGTGGAGGAGGAAGAGGAGTTGGGATGAAGGGTGTGGAAGTGGGAGAAAAAGGGAAAATGGGAAAAAAAGTTCACCGAGGAGAAAGGAGGAAGAGGAGGAGGAAGAGGAGCCCAGAAATGGGGGCGGGGAATGGAAATTTTGGGAAAACGGGATGGGGAGGAAGAGGAGGAGGAGGAGCTGGGATGAAGGGCAGGAAATGGGGAAATCTGGGGAAAAGCCGAGGATGAGGAAGAGGAGGCTCACCGAGGAGCGGGATGAAGCTCGGCTGCGCCATGGCCCTGTCCCCTCCCTGTCACTGTCCCCTCCCTGTGACTGTCACTGTCCCCTCCCTGTCACTGTCCCCTCCCTGTCACTGTCCCCTCCCTGTCACTGTCCCCTCCCTGTCACTGTCCCCTCCCTGTCACTGTCCCCTCCCTGTGACTGTCACTGTCCCCTTCTTGTCACTGTCACTGTCCCCTTCCTGTCACTGTCACTGTCCCCTCCCTGTCCCCCCGCGTCCCCTCCTTGTCCCTGTCCCCCCCGTCCCGTCCTTATCACTGTCCCCTTCCTCTTCCTGTCCCTGTCCCCCCCGTCCCCTACTTGTCACTGTCCCCTCCCTGTCCTTGTCCCCTCCCTGTCACTGTCCCTGTGCCTCTCTGTCCCCTCCCTGTCACTGTCCCCCCCGTCCCCTCCCTGTCCCTGTCCCTGTCCTTGTCCCCGTCACCTCCCTGTCACCCCTGGTGACAATGAGGAGGTGACACCGAGGAGAGGGTGGCACCGGGGTTGGTGACACTGAGGTGAAGGTGACACCGAGATGAGGGTGGCACTGAGGTTGGTGACACTGAGGAGGGGACACCGAGGTGAGGGTGGCACCGAGGGTGGTGACACCGAGGTGAGGGTGGCACCAGGGTTGGTGACACTGAGGGGAAGGTGACACCAAGGTGAGGGTGGCACTGAGGTTGGTGACACCAAGGTGAAGGTGGCACTGAGGTTGGTGACACTGAGGAGGTGACACCGAGGTGAGGGTGGCACCAGGGTTGGTGACACTGAGGTGACGCCGAGATGAGGGTGGCTTCAAGCTGAAGGTGACACCAAGGAGGAGGTGACAGTGAGGAGAAGGTGGCACCAAGGTGAAGGTGGCTCCAGGGTTGGTGACACTGAGGGGAAGGTGACGCTGAGGGGAAGGTGACAAAAAGCTTAGGGTGACACTAATGAAGCGGCACCAAGAAGAGGGTGGCACCAAGGAGGGGGTGACACCAGGGTTGGTGACACTGAGAAGGCGACACCGAGGTGAGGGTGGCACTGATGAAGGTGGCACCGAGGAGAAGATGACACTGCGGTGAGGGTGGCAGCAAGGACGAGGTGACACCAACAGGGTGTCACCTTCCCATTGTCACCTCCTCCAGGCTTTGGAAAATCCAGTGGGTGTCACTTTCCATGTGGATCTTGTCTCCTCGGGGTCTCCTCCAGGATTTGGAAAATCCAGTGGTCGTCACCTTCCATCTTGACCTTGTCTCTTCAGTGTCTCCTCCTCCAGGCTGTGGAAATCCAGTGAGACAATGGTTGTCACCTATAGCCTGGACCTTGTCTCCTTGGTCCAGGCTTTGGAAAATCCAGTGAGCCAGTGGTTGTCACCTTCCGTGTGGATCTTGTCTCCTCCTCCAGGCTTTGGAAAATCCAGTGGTCGTCAACTTCCATCTGGACCTTTTCTCCTTGGTGTCTCCTCCTCCAGGCTTTGGAAAATCCAGTGAGACAATGGTTGTCACCTTCCATCTGGGTCTTGTCTCCTCCTCCAGGCTTTGGAAAATCCAGTGGTTGTCACCTTCCATGTGGACCTTGTCTCCTTGGCATCTCCTCCTCCAGGCTTTGAAAATTATGGAGCCGGTGTCTCGGAATCTCTGTGGTCGAGATGACCCCGAGAATGTTAGAAAGTCTCTTTTTCCCAGCGAGCCGGTGTTTGGCACCTTCCATCTGGACCTTGTCTACTCCTCCAGGCTTTGGAAAATCCAGGGGTTGTCACCTTCCATCTGGACCTTGTCTACTCCTCCAGGCTTTGAAAATCCAGTGGTTGTCACCTCTCGTCTGGACCTTGTCTACTCCTCCAGGCTTTGGAAAATCCAGTGGGTGTCACTTTCCATGTGGATCTTGTCTCCTCGGGGTCTCCTCCAGGATTTGGAAAATCCAGTGGTCGTCACCTTCCATCTTGACCTTGTCTCTTCAGTGTCTCCTCCTCCAGCCTTTGGAAATCCAGTGAGACAATGGTTGTCACCTATAGCCTGGACCTTGTCTCCTTGGTCCAGGCTTTGGAAAATCCAGTGAGCCAGTGGTTGTCACCTTCATCTGGACCTTGTCTCCTCCTCCAGGCTTTGAAAATCCAGTGGTTGTCACCTTCCATCATGACCTTGTCTCCGCAGTGTCTCCTCCTCCAGCCTTTGTAAATCCTGTGATCCGCTGTCCACGGAATCTCTGTGTTCATGTTGACCCCGACAATGTTAGAAAATCTCTTTTTTCCCAGCCCAGCGGCCGAAGGAGGAGTCGGAATTCCTCGGCTCTGCTTTTCAAGGTTGTTTATTTTCTCTCATCCCTTACATTCTATTCCTGACCCGCTGAGTCTGTCCGGCAGGTCGGTTCGTGGCACACTGCCCGCCCTCGGGGTGGTGTCAACATTTTATACCAAGAACTCCGTGTCCTTTATTTACAATAATTTTCCAGCACCTATCACCTCTGTTGGACAGTCCATGTCTACTGTAAACCAATCCCAAAGTGCCAGCGCCACACAGAAGATGGAGGCTAGGAAGAAGAAGGAGGAAGGACAAGGCACGCCCAAATCCCTCCATCTTGCCTCCAGAACCCCCATTCTAAAACACCCAAAATTCTACTTTTTCACCCCGAAACAAACTAACTATCATTCTACTCAAACTCTCGTGGCTTGTACAACTTCACAAAAGCTGGTAGTTTGTTCCGTGGGCTGAAATCGCAGGCACAGGTGGTTTTGACTCCGTGCCAGGGTCTCTGAGGCCCCTGCCAGGGTCTCGAGTCCTCCAGGGCAGTCAGAGGAACGTCCTGGTTTCCAAAACCGGTGGTTGTCATATTCCGTGTGGACCTTGTCTCCTCGGTGTCTCCTCCAGGATTTGGAATATCCAGTGATCGCCACCTTCCGTGTGGGCTTTGTCTCCTTTGTGCCTCCTTTTCCTGGCTTTGGAAAATCCAGTGAGCCAGTTGTTGTCACCTTCCGTCTGGATCTTGTCTCCTCTTCCAGGCTTTGGAAAATCCAGTGGTTGTCACCTTCCATCTGGACCTTTTCTCGTCAGTGTCTCCTCCGGGCTTTGGAAATCCAGTGAGCCAGTGGTTGTCACCTTCTGTTTGGATCTTGTCTCCTCGGTGTCTGCTCTTCCAGGCTTTGGAAAATTCAGTGGTTGTCACCTTCCATCTGGATCTTGTTTCTTCAGTGTCTCCTCCTCCAGGCTGCTCAGTGTCTCCTCTTCCATGCTTTGGAAAATCTGCTGGTTGTCACCTTTCATCTGGACCTTGTCTGCTCGGTGTCTCCTCTTCCAGGCTTTGGGAAATCCAGTGGTCATCAACTTCCATCTGGACCTTGTCTCCACAAAGTCTCCTCCGCCAGACTTTGAAAATCCAGCAAGCTGGTGGTTGACACCTTCCGTGTGGACATTGTCTGCTCGGGGTCTCCTCTTCCATGCTTTGGAAAATCCGGTGGTTGTCACCTTCCGTGTGGATCTTGTCTCCTCCTCCAGGCTTTGAAAATCCAGCAAGCTGGTGGTTGTCACCTTCCGTGTGGACATTGTCTGCTCGGTGTCTCCTCTTCCATGCTTTGGAAAATCTGGTGGTTGTCATCTTCAGTGTGGACCTTGTCTGCTCGGTGTTTTTTCCTCCAGGCTTTGGAAAATCCAGTGAGCCAGTGGTTGTCACCTTCCATCTTGGCCTTGTCTCCTCGGTGTCTGTTCTTCCAGGCTTTGGAAAATCCAGTGGTTGTCACCTTCCATCTGGATCTTCTCTCCTCGGTCCTGCAGCAGGACTGCAGGAGTGACAAGGGTAGGACAGTCGGGATGGACGGAGACGAGAAATCTCTGGAGCCAGGTCTTGGAATTTTTGGTTTATTGCCAAGGATGGGAGTGCAGGGGCTCTGCTTGGAGCTGCAGCTCGGGGACGGCCTCAAAGAGGAGCCCCAAAGTGGAACTCCAAAGTGGAGCCCCAAAGTGGAGCCCCAAAAAGGAGAATCAAAATGGAGCCCAAAAGAGGAGTCCCAAAGTGGAGCCCCAAAGTGGAGACTCAAAGAGGAGCCCAAAGAGAGAGAGAGGAGAATAAGAGAAGAAGAGAGGACGAAACAGTGAAGAAAAAAAGAGGAGCCCCAAAGAGAGAGAGGAGAATAAGAGAAGAAGAAAAGAGAGGACGAAACAGTGGAGAATAAAAGAGGAGCCCCACAGTGAAGACTCAAAGAGGAACCTCAAAGAGACGCCCCAAAGTAGAGACTCAAAGAGGCGTCCCAAAGTGGAGCCTGTTTTGACTCCGTGCCAGGGTCTCTGAGGCCCCTGCCAGGGTCTCGAGTCCTCCAGGGCAGTCAGAGGAACGTCCTGGTTTCCAAAACCAGTGGTTGTCATATTCCGTGTGGACCTTGTCTGCTCGGTGTGTCCTGCAGGCTTTGAAAATCCCGGCAGCCATTGGTTGTCACCTGCCATCTGGACCTTCTCTACTCCTCCAGGATTTGGAAAATCCAGTGGTCGTCACCTTCCATCTTGACCTTGTCTCCTCAGTGTCTCCAATTCCAGCCTTTGAAAATTCAGTGATCCTCCTGAATCCCCATTCTAAAACACCCAAAATTCTACTTTTTCACCCCGTGACAAACTAACTATCATTCTACTCAAACTCTCATGGCTTGTACAACTTCACAAAAGATGGTAGTTTGTTTCCGGCTGAAATCGAAGGCACAGGTGGTTTCCAAAAAGGAGAATCAAAATGGAGCCCAAAAGAGGAGTCCCAAAGTGGAGCCCCAAAAAGGAGAACCAAAATGGAGTCCAAAAGAGGAGTCCCAAAGTGGAGCCCCAAAGTGGAGCCCAAAAGAAGAGACTCAAAGAGGAGCCTCAAAGTGGAGACTCAAAGAGCAGCCCAAAGAGAGAGAGAGAAGAATAAGAGAAGAAGAAAAGAGAGAACAAAACAGCAAAGAATAAAAGAGGAGCCCCACAGTGGAGACTCAAAGAAGAACCTCAAAGAGACGCCCCAAAGTGGAGACTCAAAGAGGAGCCCCAAAGAGAGAGAGAGGAGAAGAAGAGAATAAGAAAAGAGAGGACGAAACAGTGGAGAATAAAAGAGGAGCCCCACAGTGAAGACTCAAAGAGGAACCTCAAAGA